AACGTAAATTGACCATTATAACGAGATTAAAGGCTGAAGTTTCGACCGTTAGCCCTTCGTCAGAGCGATCATCGCTCTGACGAAGGGCTAACACTCGAAACGTCAGCCTTTAATCTCGTTACAGCGGTCAATTTACGTTTTCAACTCAGTTGCTAACACTAAATTACCTTTTTGTGACCAACTCTTCGTCAGTGGTCACCCAGCTCTCGCTCTTCAATCCACTGTGACGTGCTCTGATGGTGGTTAGTGGATAGAGCTATAGACTAGAGATATATCTTTGTTTACTCCGCATCATTTGTATTTTACAGATTTTTCCGTAGACAGTACGTTTTCTGGTGCTCGGCTGCAACATGCAAAATAAACCTTCTAACTCAAGCAATAACGTTTTTTGTCAGCTGTCGTGTAGCTGATTTGATCTTCTCCCATGGCCGCGTGGCACTATACCATACCTTAACTGACCTCTCACTAATCAGATATTCGCTGTATCTTGAACTTCTTAAATTATTTGCCTACAGATAAGCCCTGGTCGAATTAAACTAGTGCTTGAATACTTCTGTTCGAGTCTGATCACTCATTTGTGCTGTTTATTGCAAGTGGAGAGTCCGATATCGTTTGTAATTTTTTTCTCTACAAGGAATAAGTCAGACAAAATGCCCAATATGAATAATTTTCAAAGTCACATCTATTTGTAAAAAGCAAGAGATTATCTCTTGTCAATACAGTACATACCTATGCCATAATACTTTTCTTCCATTTTGCAACCTTTGAGTTACACAAAAAAACTCATTTTTTCGTTAAACTTCTGTCATCGTCAAAGTTTTCTTTCTTCGTTATATCTGGTTTCATTTAGAAAGGGTATTCATTTAAGGATATGTAAGATCGCATGTTATGACGATCTCTGTTGGCGTGGTTTGGTTCCAATTCAAGGACCACTTAAGAATACTTCAGTATTTTTGTACTAACGAATATCAGATAATTTTGATTAAGGAATTTGAACTCCTTATTTAGACTGCAGAGAGAGGTAATATTGCGCATGAATGTTCTTAACCCTTTCAGTCCCAAGATCCAATTAGTAATTCTCCTTACTATCTGCCATACAATTCTTATGTTGTTAGTTCAGAGAATTTGGTATTGGATCAACTAATAATCCCATAATTGATATTCTTCTCTATTCTCATCACCTGCCTGCTTGATATCGTACCGATATTGTAAGGAGAAATTCTGTCTTGGTCACTTGTGGGAGTGAAAAGGTTAATATATAGTATCTTGTCTTTGTTATTGAAGCGATATTTGATGTTGCTAAGAGAAAGTAAAACTCATCAAAGATTTGTCTTGGGCTGATCATTCGCCAAAACGTGCACCAAGATTTTTCAAAGCTTCGTGGGAACATTTACTGACGATCAGTAAACTAAACTGAAGCGCTCGATCTCGACAAACTATATATGAACAGTTCATTGTCTTGTTCCATCCGTGCGAACTTGTTTCCTTTCAGTAAATTCTACACCTGAAAATTTATACGTGACAATCATATCTGAACACATTATCAGAGTGGCATACTTAGCAATTAATGTGCATCATTATAAAAGGATATATGGACAATCGATAACTGTCGAGGATCCAAGGCCAATTTCTTATGAGAGCACTCATGGTGCTGTTGCCTAGTGACAAAAGATGATATCGAGGAATCCGTTCTCCAAGTACCGGTGCAACAACATATATCGAATAATTTATGAGAATCGCAGATCATACGAGCTCATCGGCGCGCGCGGGGTCCAATCTTAAATTCGAATACATCTGCCTGAAGATATGAATAATATAAAATCTTTCCTTCTTCGAGAGAATGAAAACTGGCCGTACAGAGTTCTGCCAATAAATGCTTGACACTAACCTCGACTCACAGAAAAGTACAAACGCTATAGTTGCTCCACCCTACACGTGACAGAACACAAATCCTGTGATCGATCAGTTTTTAGTGTAACTATTGGATATTGCTTACAATAAAACATACGTGTCGCTAAGCAAAGGCAGAGTGTTTTGATTAAAGGTATCAAAGGATATTATACTGCTTTAAACTTCTTTAGAACTGAGCTGATGTTATCAGGCCTTTGTTATTTCCGTTAGTTAATTAATTCCTGTTTGAGAGCTCACCCGAATGACATTGTAAAGAGATAGCTCTTCAGAAAGGTACTGATTAAGTGTATTTTTCCGCTTCGCATTTTTAAACCATGTCAGGCATGATAGCCAAAAAATCATTAGAAGCCGTGAACTCCAAGTGAAACCTTCAAATGTGTCTCAAGACTCGGCTCCGCAAAGCAAAAGGATGTGTCTGAGTGATCGAGTGAAAACTGTTTTTTCGTTTTGTATCTGATTGTTTAAAAGTTTGGTGCGATATTTCTCAGTTGACCCATCGTTGAGAGAAATGAATCGAAACTACCAGAGCCCTGAATTTCTTTACTGAGATACCTGTTTGAAAATTTCTCTGTTACCTACTTCCATGCACAAACCCCATAGGTGATTCGTAAATGGATTCAAACTTAGAGCTGCTGCCTCTTCGGTGGGCAGGACATGATACTTAATAACAAAGAGATACTTAAGCAATTGCTAAATTTTTTAACGATAGTTTTAAAGCGGTTTACTATCCAAAGGCGCTTAGACGTGGTGAAACCTTTTGAAACATTTTATTCATTTTCTCTATCTGTGGCCGTTGGCCGGGGATAAACTTGTTAAAGAAGAGGAATGTTTGTTCCACTATCACGAAAGAAATCTCGTTTAACAGTTGCCACTCGGACGTGTCTCCGAGAAGGAATCTCGAGAGGAGGGCGGTGTCCATACAGAGAAGAACTGAGGACTGGAACGGACTTTGTTTGTTCCTGGGGAAAGATCCAGTTAGAAAACTAGTTAAGCTGACACTAAATTGCTTTCTAGCATGCTCTGCAATGTGGGACGCAAGTTATGCTTCGGTTGAGCTGGGAAAATTCCGAGGAGAATAATGTCGTACAATGAACGATCGGAAAATGTGAAACATATGATGAAGTAATTTTATAGCGCCATATCCAAGAACTCTTAGCGCTTTGTAACATTTTGCTAGGTACTTTGATCACCTTGCATTGTGCTTTTTGAGAAAAATTTGCAGATGTCCCAAATTTCGGAAACAAGGTCAGACCACAACACCGGGAGCTACGTTCCCTATTGTTTGAGATTCTAACCGTGTGGCTTCTTGAATGTCCCCTGCTGATGACCAGTACGGAAAAGTTGCAGACGACGGAACCTACGGTTTTATCGTCGTTGACGAAAAGACGAGAACGTCTAACTATATGCAGACGTCATAGCAAAGGCAGCACTTTTCGGTTCCACCGTTAGCTGTAGCTGAGATCCTGAGTGTTGGTGAAGTCTGAGGCTTTAGCCCCCGATCCCAATCTCTCTCCAACCTGAGCTAACCAGACGGTTACGACGAACGTTTTGGGGAAATTATGTCATAGAGATTGGTGAATTTTGTATTCTGAGAAAATTGTTTAAAACTTTGGTCAAAAATCTCTTTACCTCAGAATTAACATTGAGTCCTCGAGTATGTTCTCTGTCGTCCCGGTGAAGCTTACTGCAATAACCTGCCTTTATATGAAATGTTCTGTCGTAAGTTGATATCCTGTCATGCTAAGGAAGAAAGGGCATTTGAGACTGGTATGGGAGGGAAACTTAACGCAACATAACTAAACACAAATCACTTTGGTTTTATCATCTTAGTAAATCTATTAATATGTAAATTGCCATCGTTAAGGTTTCTAAAGATGACGTTTCGAATATAAGTCCTTCGTTAGAGCGAATGACTGACTAATATCTACCGACAACCTGTCTCAGTCAAGGGCAACTTGCAGTAAGGTATCCTCGGTCTAATCGTGTAGCCTTATCGTGCAGGTCATAGAGAGTCCCAAAAATGACCGTTATTGGTGACAGTTACCAGCGCTTCGACAACCTTAGCGGAAGTCATTATCAGAATCAAGTGAAGAGTTGTTTTGTCAGTTGCTTTCTGTACTTAACTTCATACCTTTTGTTTGAAGGATTTGCTAAAGCGAAGCTGAAGAGGTTTGAACCAGGAACACTCAATCATTTGTTCTTACCCATGTGACTCATTAAATAATGATATAATGTTATTTTACACTCAAAAAATAAACTGCTTCTGATGGTTGACTGATGAATAATGCCCAAATCAAGGCTAGTGAAGTGTAACACCATCGTTTTCTAAGGGAACTTCTTCAAAACATCTCATTCATTGTCTATCAAGTGTGTTAAAGGCGTCCGAAAGACTAACAAGACTAATACCCCATTCATACCAAAGCTTAAACATTTTTAATTTTTTTTTCTTCGTAGAAACTACTGAACCTAATATTTTTTACTTAAATGTGGCACATTATACATGCAAGATTGCAGGTACTTGAATCCTATGGAAAATTAAGTTTTTCAGTTCTCTGTTTATGATTTTCATTCAGTAAAAACCAGTTTAACAAACCATGTTTTGCTGGTGTGAATAGGGTATAAGAAGGCTAATAAATTAGAACATTTCCATCTCAACAGGACTGATCTGTAGAGTCACAGCGTGGAAGGATCTCAGGTACTAACCTTTTTGTTTGTGTTGAAGTAGTTTAATGGAACATCTGAACATATATGTCTTGCAAAATTTGTTTTCCAGGCCTTGGAAAGTGCCTCACTGCATTTCGACGTTAGAAGATGCGAGTCTGAAAGGCGTTTTTCTCCCTGAATTGAAAACGAAATGAAACAGTTTCGTAAGCAGAAAATGTTAGTCATATCCAAAGAAACTTCCCTGAACGTGTGTTACCCTCATGCTCTCTCGCCATTGTTCCTTGGTTTGTTCAGGAGTGTAAGTTTTCAGTCCATAGTTAGACCTCAGACAGCCTTTTGCTCGCGATTGGTCCATGACACATGCAAGACTTTGGATAAAACACAGCAAAATTAAGCAAACCCTTTGATGACTGTTTTTGTTTGTGACGCTTATAATTGCGTATAGCGCGCGCGTTGAAATGTTTTTATCGCCCATGGCCAAATGAGGAGAGCTGGGACATGCGCACTCACTGCTATTAACGGGGATGAAAAATGCCTATTGCTCAAATAATGAAAATATAGAGAAACAGAAGGCGTTTTAAAACAAAGGAGGGGAGATCAAATAATTTTAAAATGAAGAAATGGCCATATTGTTGCGTGGTCTGAGTGAAAGCAAGTTTGCTCCAACCCTCTTTAAAATAAAGCCAGGGAAAACAGGTTTAAGAAGTCCTTTAAAGCAACGAAGTCTATTTCATTTAATTCCATTTAATGCCATTTTAATTCAGTACTGAAAGGACTTTCCTTAACGCACCTATAAGCAACGCGGCATGTCCTGGAGATGAGCCTGATATCTTAGTACAACTCGGAGAGATTGGTAACTAAGCTAAAATCCAACATGGCGGCCGAAGTTCCACAACAACCGGTGAAAAAAACTTTATCAAAAAATCTCATGGAAATGAAGGTAATGCATCCTTAAATACCTCAAGGTGTCTGTGAGATGTTTAAATTTATTTCTACTCTCTGTTTCATTATATTTAGTTCATGAAAAGGAAAGCAGAAACAGACTATCGTCGCCAGCTCGAAGAAGAACGACAGCGTGCCATCGAAGAATCACATTGGGTGCTGAATGGACAAGAACAAGAAGATAGGTTAGGATTGAATATCGAATAGAGGAAAGAGATTTTCCATTTCTGAATTTTTCGTAAGGATGTCAAAGGCTGCTGTTTTGTGCTGAGTTGGCAATGGGTAGTCTCCTCCGCAACCGTTGTTTGGTCTGGATCTCAGTCGCAACGCGCTTTCTCCCTCACTAGATGATAGGTTGACACCCCTGTGGCTACTTCAAATTAAACCACGAACTCCTGTGAATGATGAAAATGTGCCATCTCCTCAAAAATTCAATACACTAATCAATGATAAGGCGACGAGAATAGTCAAAATTATCGGTTGGTGGATATAAATTTCATCATTTGTTCATTCTCCTATCTAATTTACAAATAAATGTATAGCAGCTTTATAGGAGAATTACTGAATCGATCTTGGAACCCAAAGGTGCCTCTGAGCAAGATGTCATAGTTGACTCGAGCTGCACATTTAGTTATGAATTGCTGGCTCTCTAGAGAACCTGCTTAGGAATGAGCATTGTTTTAGGAAAATTGTAATGATAATTATTTTGATGGAAAGGGGTGGTATTGAGACATTTTGTTAATAACAATATTTCAATTGTCAATTCTAGTCATATTGTATTACTTTTTTAGCAAACTAACATCATCAGTAACTTATTGGCCAATTAAGAGTTTCTAGCAGAAGAGAAGTTTTCATCAACTTACTTTTGATGAACCCAAGTGTTTTACACTATTTAAATTTACCATGAAAATTTGAATTTTTTTTCAGAAGTTGCATTGAATTTGAACCAAGTTATGTACACTGTGAAGAACTTTACCCAAATGGAAGGATGTCTTTTAAAAACTTTAACCCAACAGTTGAAGTGAGTCTCTTCCATATCTATATTTTTTTGTCAAGATGAGGAAATAGTACTCCAGATACAAAATTCAAACCTTATGTCGAAGTATTTAGCTCATTAGTCCCTATTTCCTTTGAAGAAGATGCAAGCTGTAAATTGTTGACAATGGTGAATACCTGGGAGAAAGATGTCCTCACTTACAAGCTAATTAAAGTTCAGTTGTTATGCAAGAAACAGTCATTCACAAAGATCTCTTTGTCAACTCAATAATTTGGAGAAAACAATTGAGGTCATTTAGTGATATAGATATTCAATGAAGTTGAGAGAGGTCACCAGACAGATAACATCAGCTGGATTTTGTGGACATTTACCTTAGTTTGCTTTTTAAATTGAGGCTCTAACCATCTTGATTTTAATAAATTTTGATAGGATTGGACTTGGGCTTCTGATTGATTTGCATGAGTTTCCCTCTTTGCAAAATAAAAGAAGAATAAGAAGACTGCAGATCTCTTCATGGATAAACAATAAAAAATTGTCACAAACAATGAAATATAGATTGCAAATTCTGCCAACAGAAAATGTTTAAAGAAATGATAGCTGAAGAAGATTTAGCACAATCAGAGGCAAGAGAAAGGGAAGAAACTGTCTCTGATGAGGAGATGGCTCAAAGGTAATTACTGCTCTTATCACAATTTTTTTTACAAGTATTTTGGTTGCCCTAAAGTAATTTCACTTTACATGTTTGAAAAGTGAAAGATAATAGAAGACTTTACAGTTAATTGTAATCTTGATGATCGTTTAATAATAATTATTTGTTTGTAATAATTTCATTTGAGAGATGCCTGTAAAGTAGCAGTAGTAGCTAATAAGTTTACCTTCAACATCAGAGGTGACAATCACTCACTCCTAAATGGGATGCTACCTGAATTAGCCATCTGTCTTTGTTGTTGTTGCTGTTTTTTTAACAGATATGAAAACCTTGTGGGAACAGTAGCCAAGAAATTCACAACAAAAAGGAAAAGATCATCAATTGGCACAACTTGTGAACCTGACAGTCCATGTTCAAACCAACCATCAAAGAAAATGAAACATGGATTTATGAAACCCAGAGACTAAAAAAAAAGTTGACGATAAAAGTATTGTTCACTAGTTAGCCTGCTTGTTGGACAGTTTCAGTTCCCTGTTCTTCAATCTCAGTCAGTGTTGGTCTGTTCAATTATCAGTTTAGGTACTAGTGTATTATCTATACAAGTTTTTACAAGTATAATTATTAGTTTGAAAGAATTATTAGCGGAACAAGAAAGTGCTATGAGATCTTGGGTTGGCATTGTTTTGTTAATTACTGAGATTAATGGATAGCAGATAACATTCTTATTTATTATAAAATGAAATAGTTTAAGCCTTGTTTATAAATATTGTCTACATAGTTTTCTTTTAAACTGACAATTTTTGATCTGACATATAGATTAATAGTGGTGAAATAAGCAGTGACACCACACAAGAACATTTGTGTCTGTATAAGGCAAGAATTTTAATCAATGTTGTAAGGGTTGAATGTGGGGCATTGAGCACTATAGGGTTTCATATATCTTATAAATAAAATCTTGACAAAGTGGTAAGAGGCTTTCAAGTGAAAGTACACCATTGATAAACAGATTTTAGTTGAACTCCTAAATTTAGAGCATGAACAAGAAAAGTCTCCAAAAGCATTTTTTTTGTTCCATACATCTACTTAAAAGTCAATTGATTTGAAGAAAGAAAGGAAACTAGTGTGTCGTAGTATTCAAATATTGGAAGTTTTTCAAGCAAAGAAATACATTTTTTATAGTATCCATTAAAGCTGGGTGATGGTTTGTATGAAGAATGATGAGCTCCATTTTGCTTTCAGTGAGATTTTAATAGTCTTCCTCTATACCTTCTCATAAGTACCCTAATCTAAGAAGAAGTGAATGTCAATGATTTTAAATTAAGCAGAGTGTTATCAGTTGGACAAAGTGCTTTCCTCAAATGAGGTTCTCACAAACCTTAAGGGAAGACACAATTGATCATGGAGGAGACCAAGATAAGCTAAATGGCAATTTGCAGCAACACTGGGTTTGATTTGGTTTGTTTAGTCATTGACTATGATTTGTCTCTGCAACATGATGCATGGACCAGTTTCTGCAATTTGCAACCAAATGGTCATTGCCCTATAGCTCTCATGTCTTTAAATTAACACAAGTAGGTACAAGCATTACTCAATTTTCATGTACTGTGATTTTTATTACTCTCTTCTGTACAGTCAATGAAGAAGGAATTTTGGCTAAATTTGTACTTGAAATCATCTGACTGAGAAGATAATGGTCATATTCTCTGAACTGAGTAAAATAATATCGAAATAGTACTAAAAATGAAGATATTAGATTATTAAATAAATTTTCACATAATAACAAAAAAAGTCAAAACACTCTCTGATCAAATTTAATCTCCAACCAGTGTTCTCCAGAGATTTTTTCTTTTTTTTTTTTTTTTAAAAAAATACCAGACAAACAAATACATTAAAAAAACCAAGCTAGCAGGAAGAATTATTTTCCTGATCACAACAGTTAGCTGCAGCCTCAGAAGGAAGTAGCCAAGGAAAATCCTGGCCACTTGTGGTTCTGAAGAACACTGCTTTAGCCAGACACTGTAAATTGCAGAGAAACTTGAAACTGTTACAAAGCCAGAAAACCATTATTGATAGCTGTTCCAAGATGAAAGGAATCCAGATTAAGTATTAATTTGAAAATAGGCTAAATATATTTATTTTCTAATAAAATCTGCCTTCAGACAAGGCCCACTGAAGAATAGAATAATTTGAAGCCCTAGATTAAATAAATATGCCTGGTAAATGCATGGGTTCAGGCACCTGAATTGTTAAAATAATTAACATCCCAATAAAATCCCAACCAATCTAGCAATACCATTAATTTCAAAATTCTTAAATAAACAAGGAAAGTTAATCACCTCTGACCCACTTGAAACCCACTTGCAGTTTATTGGGAATACTTTATCAGAAACAGAATTGCCTATTAACTTGCCATTAAAACGTACAGTAACAAGTGCAAAGGATTGTTACTTTGGTCTTAAGCTTTGATGGGAAGACTGGTGCTGTTTGTAGCAAATACTTATCATGTTCCTCTCTTAAAAAAAATATTTCTTAAATTGATCTACCTAACAATTTTGCACAATCTAATGAATATGCCAAGTTGTTTGCAGTCTACGAGACCAGGGAAAGCCTAATCTGAGAGGAAATCTCTCGTTTTTTAAATGCTTGTATGTGCATTTTTAATGAGTACTGTACTGCAATTTGCAATTATCACCTTTTCCTCTAATTTTTGGTTTAAATATAAGACTTCATTAAAACGTCCTCTTTCCACCATTACATAAAATACAAATGACCTTAATTTGCTGTACCCCCACATCTGGATGTTTCCAACTTATGGAAACAAGAAGTCACAGATTTACAAGAGTACTCTTTATCACCTTTATTGCCTCTGAGCTAATATCAGAAACATTAAGGATGGCAAAAAGTTTGAAATCTCTGATCATCCCAAATCATCCTAAACATACACTGTAAGCCTAATAACAGAAAACTAAACCAAGTGTAGCCGATTTTTTGAGTAAAAATGATTTAAAACAAGATGACCTTGTATTTTACTTTGTATGAACACTGTGATAATAAACCAGTGTTTGGAACAAAGGCAAATCAATCGAAATTAAAAACCAAATAAAAATAGTTTAATTAAAACCATTTTGACCTAGAATTAGTTTCAAACAACAACATAATCATCCACAAGGAAATAAAAAATACAAATGATAGTTCATGAACAATAGCTATGGAGTTTGGGCTCCTTTGGCAATTTCATTGACTGCAGTTAACACAGCTGATGCAGATTTTGACCTCTTGTGGCCTTTTTTAGCTGTTTTGTGATCAATGAACTCTTTCTCTTCCAGCTGTGCCTCTAAGTCAAAATCTATTTTAAAATTCTTTTCTTCTGGAATCAGTTGAAATTCTTCTGGTACAGCCACTATTATATGACCATTAGCAAGAACTTCAGGCTCTGTCTCATCGCAAGTTCTATTCAATTCCCTTCTTGCTCGGCGTATAACATACGTCATTAAAAGTATACTAATGATGAATTGAACAAACAGGATAATGTATCCTCCAGATTGCTCTTCAACCAGATCTTCCAAAGAACGAAATGTAGATCCCATGTATGAATTCAGTGCTTGTGTAGGAAGAAGTCCAATTGTAGATGCAATTACATATTTAGCTGTACTAACATTAGTTACCTGTGGGATGAAGGAAAACACAATTATGATTAATAAACATAATTAGGATGAAACCCTAGATTTTTCTTGTTCTTAACATATGATCATATTTTCATAACAAACAAAGAAACTATTATTAACAAAATTTATGCATTTTTTATAGAAGAGAAAGTTTTGAAAGTTGAACTCAAACATTCAATCTCTGTTTAAAAATTAAAAAAAAAACAAAAAAAACAAAGTATCACCAGCCAGAAGTTATCACATCATACAGTACATTGGTTTACTAAGGCTTGTTGCTGATTCCTACACTACTTAGAAAGTTGAAAAAAGGTCAAAAGTATTGTTTTTCTACTCTAGAATCATAATTAAATAGAAAATAACTAATAATCACTCCCTTTTCTCAGAGCTTAACAAAATTAAAAACGTTAAATAGTGGGATCAGAAAATATCATTTGCCTCGATGTAATTTGGCACATCCAAAAATTTGCATTTCAAGAGAGATTAGATACAGTGTATTAGGGTTTCAAGAGGGCCAAAACAGTGTCATAAATATGGGCTAATAAGAAGGCACTGTCTCTATTTAAGAGGTACCAAAATGCTTCCATTTGTCCATATCTATTACACTGGTTTCTCCTCCTTGAGAGCCTTACTGACGTGACATAGCCCCCAATAACTTTTTCATATTTTAGAGCTAGTGAAGGTCGGTGGGAAAAAAATTAAATGACATATCCCCAATTTATAAACTTTTTAAGCTACGATTACAGTCTTTGCCATCTGCTTTATGCAAAAATCAATACTTTATTTCTAATGGTGATGAAAGGAGGTAAATATATAATTTACATCAAATGACTAAGACTTTGAAATTGCCAGAAAGAAGTATTTATCATGCTATGAACGGACATGCTAAGGACGCCTCTCGGCTTTACATAATTCTGAATTCATGCCAAGAACATGCGATAACTAAAATATAACTGTAAAACAACCTGACGATGCCAGCAAAAGGTTACTCAAAACCCCTCCCATTGAAAAGTTATCAACGCCTACATGAGTAAGGAGTAGTGTTTGAATAGTTTATACAGAGACATTAACATAAGAAGCAGATGGACGCCACAGAAAGTTGAGAAAGCTCTCGAGTCGAAAAAGGTGTTTACTCACAATCACCAACGGATACAAGGAGAAAGACAACCTTACGATTGATCATGTGATAGCAAAAAATACTGCTGATTACTTACCGAAAACAATCCATTTTGCAGTCCAAAGGGTACCGGTGTAAGCCGAGTTAATGCAATGACTTTGATACCACGTTTGCCCTCCACAACACGCATAATAGCTTTTAAACTATCCGACTCCAATTTTGAGCGTACGAAATCTCGTAAATATCGTCTACAAACAATGAATGCAATTGATAAACCACACAGTACGGAAAATATAACGACGATAAATCCAAGCACAAATCCATACAAATAACCCGCTGCTACGTTAAGAAAGATGTAACCCCATGTCATTGGGAAAGAAACAACCGTAAACATGATTACAAACAACAGAATCCCTTGCCATTCATCCAAATTCTGTAGCGCTTCCAAAACGTCTTTGATGTATCGGCGACACAAAATAACCAAGACTAGTCCAATGATTAGGAAGATTAGAGCTGTACCAGAGATCTGATAGCATCTGGGTTGTGTTCGTTTGCTAACAACTTGGTCAAACTTTGTTGTTTCGCCGAGACACTTTTGCGCGCTCGACTGAATTTGTTCTGTGCACTTTTGCCCATATTTGAACACCATTTTTCGACCAACCTAACCCAACTCGTAAGGTCAGTCGATAATCTGTGAAAATAAGGACGATCAGTACATTTCGCTGTTGTGTAAGACCGAAAACCACCACAAAAAGCGTGACTTCCTGTGAAATCAATCCATGGTAATATAATATACTTCGCTAACGCCCAGTGTCGACTGTGTCCGAATGTCAAAGTATTGAGTAAGCTTTTCTTGTCAGCGGACTCTTCATCGCTTTGTAACCAAGCCTTTTATTTCTGTTGGGGTCATAGTTTTTCTAAGAAGAAGGCGCACAAAAAAATATATTGTGTCAGGTTGGAGTATTACAAATTTCGTCCGCATTATTTCAAATGATTATATAGATCTCGTTACTCACCCACTACTAAGCTTTCGAAGACGAACCTGATTACTTACAAACTCAATCGCTTCGAAGTGCTTGGTAGCCAAGCTTTATCACTGTTTCCCTTGGGGTATTCTTCACCGTGTATCACACAGCGGTAATCAGACTTTTTCTCACAGGTATGAATGAAGTTGATGATATTACTCTTGAATGGGGTATTTTTCTTGTGCTATTGATGAATAGAAGTGTATATTTTGTTTTGTTTTTTGTAACCTTGGACCCTCAGCTCATTGGTCCATGGCTCATGTTGCCCTCTGTGTTGCCACCCTCAAACTGAAAATTTCCTTACAACATCATGTATATGATATAAAACTTAAAGGAGATCATCATGCATAATTTCTTTGCAGCATTGTTGAAATTTCTTGTAAAATAGGTAAATCTCATACATCATCACTATTTATATGAAGTAAGTTATTCTGATGAACATTTGTGTATACTCTGTTCACATGAAATATGATATAAGGCATACAGTATTATGTTTAGACTCAGAAGACAGTAAACACTTTGATTTGATACTGACAAATACATTTTGTAGCGACCAATCCCAAATAAGTTCAGGACATGCAATCAAACCTCAAAACCACAAATTAATTACCTACAGCTGTTTGTTATTTATTTTATCTGCTCGATAGGCCTTATCTGAAAATCACAGTAAAATTTCATTAACATTTCAGGTGTCCAGGTTTTTCTGAGTTTCACAATAAACCTATGATAGTATGAGTTTCTCCCAACTCAGTGGTAGTATATCCAGCATGGTGTAATTACATGGCACTGATTTCTCTTGTTATTGTTTTTTTTATTATTATTTTATCTCTTGTAAAGCGTCACTTCTGTCTGTGAGGAAAGAGGCTAATGGTTATAAATACATGTGGGTCAGTCCATATGTCAGAAGCAGAACTGGAAGGTTGTTATTAGAGAGACTTGCTGAAAATGACAGCCAAGAACTGGAAACAGAGAAAACATCAGTGAGTTTCTTTATGGTGTTCTGTGATTGTCAGGGATACAGGGCTCTTGGATAGAAGTAACTAGCTTTCAATCAGAAATAACTTAATATGTCATGCTTTCTAGATTGTTTTACTGTATGATGATGAATTTTAAGACTTCTTTGTGAAATTTTATTTATGTTAATACAAATTTTGTATCATTAAACATGCATTTTAGGTAATATGACTTTTCACCTCAGAAGTTGCTTTAAAACTTGTAATGCCTGTTTGATGACAAATGGGTTTCATTGACAACCATCCATAAGAGGGCTTAAACAAAATAATAATTTTGATATTTCAATAATAAAGTAATTAACAGAGAAAAAATGATTCAAGCAGTTGTGAAAGTTTCCATTGATCTTGTTCTGTGAAGAACATTTTTAGTCTATAGAAATGAAAATGAAAGAATTTTACAAACTCTTACATTGATGGTTTTTTTGTGTGATTTTGTAATGCTTGCAGTGGTACAAATGTGAAAGTGAAGCTTTGTTGGAAGAGCTACAAGCTAAGTTTGTAGAGAGCTCACTGGATCAAGAAACTGAAGCTTTCTTACAAAACTGTCATGAGAAAGCTGATGCAGTGTTCACGCAGATTGGACATCTTCTGTTCAAAGGGTTCTTTGGTTTCTTTATGTCTGTGACTACAGCAAATGGGTAATTAGTCTGAAAGATTTGTATTATGTATAATTTATGTGCACAATTTCATTTTGTCTCAAGAGTAGACCAAAGATGACTGTCACGCACTTTCTTTGCTCCATGCTCATGGCAAGAGAAATAACATTGTTTTTTGTGATGAAACCCAAAATTGACCACCTTTCTTATTCTATTTACTTACTTAATGCTTTTGTCATTGCTGAAACAAGCAGTATGCAGGATGTCTTTCACTTATGAACATATCAGTGGTCCAGCTTACCATAGAGTCTCTTAGGCTCAGTAGTAGAACACAGGAACTTGGAATGCAAAGATCTGTAAATCAATTATTTGTGAAAAAAATAACATTCCTATAAAAGTTACTTCACCTGTATAACTTTTAATTTCCTGAGTTCAGCAAACAATTAGATTTATTTGTTATTCTGTTTTGTAGAATTTTGGATCGAGGATCAATGTTTGTATTTTCTGATGCCCAGTTTCAAAGACTCATGAATGTAGATGGATCATGGAAGACAGGGACTATGTTAGACTTAGGAGCTGGTGATGGCAAAGTAACAAGTGTTATAAAACATCACTTTGATGAAGTTTATGCTACAGAGCAGTCTCCATCCATGAGGTGGAGACTCCAAGACAAGGGCTTCAAGTAAGTCAGCTTTAAGATCAAGTCTTAAGGGGGGCCAAGTGACCCATTACTGCTGCTGCTCACTGTGGTTTCTGTAACATGAATCAAGGATGAGTATGTCTTCTTCTCCCCCTCTTTCCCTCCTTTGCTTTGTCTAGTTTCCCTACTGGTTGGCAAGTACCCATTTTCATTCCTAGTGCTCACTCCACCTTTCTGATCAGCACCATGTGCCACAAAATGCTAAAACGACAACCTTGTGGTTGATACTTTTGTGTCAAAGTGAGCCAGAGTTAATTTCCTCCAGCTATCATCTGCATCTCAAAAACATCTTTGCTTAAGTTCTCTATTACAAGACAATGATCTGATCAGAGCATGAATGTGGATTTCCTGATTCAGTTGACAGTTTGTAACTGCCTGCCACCTCAACAGCTTTAGCATTAATTGTTAATTCTCTCTTTTTAGAATCCCTAAGACCCAAATCTTAAAGTTTGTTAAAGTGCACAACACAAGGCCTACAGCTGAACTTCTCTGCTGAATGTCTTTCCATATCTTTGTTTTTATGATTACCTTTTTAAGTTGATGAGATCTCGTAACAAACATAAATGCTGTTATATTTTCTTCCTAGCCTTTCTGTAGATAACCAGGTTTGCTGTCTGTCACTAAAAAGCAAATCGAGAAGTTTAAAATCTGAGAAAGGGTTTTAATGCAAGGCATCGAATCTCTCTGTCAATGTCAGGTTACTTGATGAAAGTGAATGGATGAAGGTTGATTTCAAGTTTGATGTGATTGCATGCCTAAACCTGTTGGATAGGTGTGACAAACCTCTCACACTACTCAGTGACATTAAGGAAACTCTACATCCTGAAACAGGCCGCCTGATTGTTGCAGTTGTTCTTCCATTTAGACCCCTTGTGGAATCAGGTATGCTTGAGTCTATAATTTTTGTTTTGTTTTTTTTTTTTTGTCTTACAGAAGCTAATTCAAAATGAAAACTATGCCTTTAATTAAGGAAGGCCTTTAATGGAAGTAACATATGGCAGTTACTAAGAGTACTCCAAAGGCTTAGAACAGGTGATTCAAATGCTCCATCATCAAATGATGGTTAAGGCATCTGTGAGTATGTTGCAGCAGTTTGGGTCATCTCTGTTGAAATGTTGATAGTAACCTGTGGTACACTAACATCCTATCCAAAGAGGGTACCTATCCTCTAGGCTACATTCTGTAAGTTATGCTATGAAAGTCTGATGATTTTCTGCAGTGTAGGCAAATAAGCAGCTTTTGTACAAGGTGTAAGCTATCTCTGTCTTCAAAGAGAAAAAAAAAGAAATAGAATATAAATTTGTTTTATATATAAAGAAATTGAAGTCTGTATTATTCTTTAGGCACAAAGATGATTCAGCCAAGTGAAGTTATAACAGTTCATGGAAATTTATGGGAAGAACAAGTACAAAGTCTTGTTTCTGATGTGTTTGAGCCAAGTGGATTTACTGTGGAACTGTTTACAAGAGTTCCATATTTATGTGAGGGTGATTTGTATAAGGATTTTTACATTCTGGATGATGCTTTGTTTGTTCTCAAAATATCACAATAAGGCAGCACAAACATGCGCTTCAAATTGAGTGAAGGGAATAATATTTCCACAGAAATGGCATTAATGACCCAAATGTTTAAAACGTAGAGCTAGATGAGTATTTACTTCAAATATGCCTATTGTTTTCTGTACAAGGAAGTGTATTTTAATATTTTTATTTACAAAATTTCATTTCTTACCAAATTTTTACAACAGTAAAATTTATGGTTTTAAATTATCCTTATTTCAAAACAGCAAATAACAGCTATTTTAACAAGAGAATAAAATTTGCAGAAAGCAGTGCTCTAGCAACAAGCAAAATGAAATCTATGCAATTGCCACATTACTTCCTTTGAACAAGTCATATTGATTAATACGCAACTGACCTACAAGCGGGCACTGTAGAACATAAAGAGACAAGCCACCACAGGCCACATGTTTCCATGTGTGTTGCAGCACCTATTTTGTTCTTGGGTTGTAAATCTCACTTGTTCACAGGAATTTGTCATATCACAACATTCAATTTTTAGAAAACAATGCATGCATTTTAATACTTTTAATTAGTAATTAGGTTGTTTTTAAACAAAATACACTAAGGGTGGGTATTTCTAACCCAGTTTTATTTGATTTAACATCGGCATACATTCTAGTACTATTTAACATTCTGTATAGAGTGTGCTAAAACAGGTAACTACATATTTATAAGGGCAATAAAGTTCAAATTCAATAGAAAGTCTGTTATGGTATTTTCACAACAAGAGCCTGAGCTTTACTTAATTTAATGTTATCAAAGAGAATTTTTGCTCCCCTCATCTTCATTTCACTGTCAACTTCAACCACTCCTGAACCACTGATGCTATCAAGTGAACCTGTCCAACTCTCCTGCCCAAAGTTTACTATTATGAGAAATTTGCAGTGTTTGGCTGACCTGGTATAAGCAAGAATTAAGCTATCTACATGAACAACTTTGAAACAAAGTTCTTTAAGGCATCGTGAAGAAGACCTTATCCTCAGTAGTTCTCGATACAGCTGTAAAACTGAAGTTGGATCTGCCATTTGATCCTCTACATTCACTATTTTGAAATTTTTTGCAACAGGTAGCCATGGTTTCATTCCATGGGTAAAACCAGCATTTTGTTTACTGCACCACTGCATAGGTGATCGTTGAGGATCACGGAAATCTTTGCTGGTTTTAAGAGGCACTTCAGCATCTGTCATTCCAATTTCTTCCCCATAATAAGTGACAGCAGTTCCAGGAAGTGTAAGAAGGAGAACGTTTAGTGCACGGGAGTACTCATGGCCAACTTTGGTACCAATTCTGGATACATCATGGTTTCCTAATAACCAATTGGGCCACTTCCCCCTGGGTAGGGCAGTAAGGTAATCAGAGATTACTTCATACAAATCTTGTGCAGTTGTGGATTTGGAAAGCCCCAAAAACCCAAAGTTAAAGGGGAAATCAAATTCACTGTATCTCCCACCATAATACTTCATAACATCTGGAAGATCTGCCATTATCTCCCCTATGAGTATTCTGTATGGCGCCTTGTACTGATTGAGAAGTGTTCTCCATTCCTGAACAATTTTGTGATTATCCCACAAGTTTTTCGTGTAAATGTGCTCCAAGTGATCATAGTTGGGACATAAGGGATCATAC